CCCCCCTCTGCACCCACCTCTGCCGCAGCGGCAGTTCCACTTCGCTGTCCACTTCTCCCTCCTCCTCCTCCGACGACACCCCCCGCTTCTGGGGGCACAGAGGGGGAAACCGGGGGTCCCACGGCTGCTCCCAAGGTCCCTATTCCCCCCCCCCCCCCCCCGAACCCCAGGAGGGTCACTCCTTCCCCCAAAGCCACTCACCTGTCCCCGTGTCACGGCTGCACGGTACAGCATTGCCGCGGGGGTCAGGTGCTGCCCGGCCCCCCCTCGCCCCCCCCGAGCAGCACCACTGTCCCTCTCGCTGTCCCCAGCTGTGGGGGGCTGCGCTGGGGGGCTTCCCTGGGTGCCCACCGCCCCCCCAGACCCCAAATCGGGTTCTGCTACCGGGGGGGCCCCCGCAGCTTCCAAAGTGCCCCCCAGGAGGTCGGGGCCAGCGGTAGATGAGGGGGGTCCGGGCAGCCCTCTGGGGGGTCCGGCTTCGGGGCCGGGTTCACCGCAGCCCCCCCGGGACCCCCCTTTGCGGTGTCGTCCTTTGGCTCTGCGGCTGCGTCCTGGAGAGGGGGGGCCTTTGGGACAGCCTGGAAGGGCCACCTGCGCCATGGCTGCGTCCAGTTTGGGGAGCAGCACCTCCGGCTTCAGGATGTCGGGGCTGTGGGGGGGACATGGGGACATGGAGACCCCCAACTCCAATGAGCAGGGGGAGAGCCTGGGGGGGGGGGCGCGTCCCCAAATAGCCTCACGCCAATGGGGACACCCCCAGAGAGCGCACCCCCAGGACCCAAAAGGACCAAGGGAGCCCAGATCCCCACCCCCAAGGACTCCAGCCATAAAGAAGAACCCACACACACATACATGTCCCTTTTCCCCACGGATCCACGTTCCCTCGTCCCCAAAATATCCCCCCCACAATGGGCATCGCACACCCATCAGCCCCCCCCCCAAGGGACCCCAATGCCCTCAGGTCCCACACATCCATCTCCCCTTGGTGACCACCCCATATATCTGACACCCCTCAAAGCCCCCTACTCAAAAACCAGGACACCTCACACACGACCCCCCTCCAAAGCCCCCTCAAAAACCTGGATCCCCCCCATCCCAGGACCCCCACGCACCGCTTGCTGTGGGGTGAGAGCTTTTGGGGGACGTTGCGCTTCTTGATGAGGGTCTCCACGGCGTTCCCATGCAGCAGCCCCCGCGGCGCCCGTGGTTTGAAGAGCCCGGGGTAGCGCTTCTCCAGAGCTTGCTCTCTCCTGGATGGGGTCATGGGACCACACATGGGGGGGCATCAGTCCTCCCCCAGGGGCAAGCATGGGGTTGGGGTGATGGTTATGGGATGGGGAAAGGTTCGAAGTGAGGCAGAGGTGGTTGTGGGGGTGGGATAAAGGTGATCGTGGATGTGGGATGGGTGTAGGGTTGGCCATGACTGTGGGGTGGCCATATGGGTGGTATAGGGGTGGTCATAGACACAAGAATAGCCATTACTGTGGGATGGAAACAGAGCGGGTGTAGGGGTGGCCATGACCACAGGGGGACCATGGGGTGCATATAAGGTTGGTGAAGGCCATGGGGTGGCCATGGGGTGGGCAGGGATCCCCCTGGGTGCTGCTCCCACTCACCGGAGCAGCTCCTTCTCCTTCAGCTCCAGCTGCAGCATGAGGGCACTCAGCTCCATGTACAGGTTGTTGGCACGCTCCAGTTTGCGCTCGTAGTGCTCCCGGATGTCCAACGCGTGCCTGCTTGGTGTGGGCACCCCATGGCACCCTATGGCGCCCCACAGCATCACCCCATCACACCCCATGCAACCCCACTGACAGCTCGTGGCACCCTCTGCTGCCCCATCACACCCCCATGGCACCCAACTGCACCACTGTGGGTCCCCAAAGGCGCCCTTGTGTCCCAACACCCCCCAAACCCACTGACCCCCCCATCTCCACGTCCCCATTACTCCCCATTCCCCACTCCCCCTGTTCCCACGTCCCCCCATCCCCATGCTCCTTGCCATGTCCCTCCATCCTCCCATCCTCATGTCCCTATGACCCCCCACCCATCCCTCCAGCCCCGCACCGCAGCTCCTCTCGCCGCCGGTTGATGAGCTCCTCCTCCAGGCGGTGCAGACACGTCCCCTCCGATTTGATCTTCTCAAAGTGCAGCTTCACCTCCTCACGCCACTCCGCCTGCAGCACCGGGCACTGGGATGTACTGGGATGTACTGGGATATACTGGGATGCACTGGGCATGGATCCCCTGAGCACTGGGACGTACTGGGTGTGACCACCCCAAGCACTGGGACGTACTGGGCATGGATTCCCCCAGCTGCAGGCACCAGAGACCCCACAGCACCACCCCTGAGATGTGAAGTGTGGGGTTTGGGGGTCCCTGGGTGCCCTAGATGGTGCTGGGGGTGATGGGTCCCCCCACGGATCCCGGTGTCCCCGTGGAGCTGGGTGTCCCCGTGGGGCTGTGGGTCAGGTACCTGGGATTTGAAGTAGGTCTCCTGTGGGGTGGAGAGGACGTCGGCAGAGGCGATGTCGAGGTGCAGCAGGATCTGCCGGAAGGACGGCCGGTTCCGGGGTTTGCTGTTCCTGGGGGGGGGGCAGTACGAAGCTGGGGGCTTTTTGGGACCACGGGTGGGGGGAATGGCTCCCGACAGCATGGCTCACCCATGGGGATGTCCCACAAACAACGGGACGGGCAGGCAGGGCGGGGGTCCCTGTGATGGGGTTCCCCACATCGAGGTGACAGTGGAAGGTCTCTCATGGGGGTCCCTAAGGTGGGGGTCCATGGTGGGGTTCCCTGTGGCTAGGATCCCCCCACCCAAAGGCACGGGTGCTCCCAGGGGGTGCCACTATGCGTCGTGCCCACGGGGTGTCCCCACATTGCATCCCCCCTCTGTGCCCCCATTCTGTGCCACACACCCCACAGCTGTGTTCCCCCCCCCCACCCCCCAGTGCGCTCACCAGCACTGCCGCAGCAGCACCTTGAAGCCATCGGGGCAGCCGGAGGGGACGGGCAGGTGAAGGCTGTTGCTGCCCACCCCCCAGATGATGGCTGAGGAGTCCACGTCCTTGTAGGGGATCTCACCGGTCAGCAGCTCCCACAGCACCACCCCGAAAGACCTGGGTGCAGCGTCACCCATGGGAACCCCCGTCTCCATTGTTCCCTCCCCCCACCTCTGCCCAGGCTGCCCCCCATCCCTCCTTAACGCCCCCAATCCCTGCAATGTCCCCCTCCGTGTCCCCATCCCCAATCACCCGCAGTGTCCCTGAGGTTACCCCCCTGCGTTCCCCCCCTCCTATTACCCTCGATGCTCCCAGTGCATTCCCATTGACTCCCAGTAGACCCAGTGCCACTGTGCACCCGATGCCACCACGGCTCCCTGCTGCTCCCCAGGTCCCCGCTGTCCCCATGCCCTCACCAGATGTCGACCTTCTCAGAGACGGGCTCATTGCGGATGACCTCAGGTGCCATCCAGGCCACCGTGCCAGCAAAGGACATCTTGGTGCTCTTGTCAATGAGCTCCTTGGAGGTGCCAAAGTCTGAGATCTTCACCACGTCGTCGTAGGTGATGAGCATGCTGGGGGGCAGCCACTCAGCGTCACGCCAGGGGCACAGGGGTGGCATCACCATGGGCACATCCCATTGTGGGAATGCCACTGCCATGGGCATGGCACCACCACGGGCATGGCAACATTATGGACATGGCATTGCCATGGGCATGGCACCATCACGGAACACCGCGTTGTCGTGGTCTTGCCACTGCCATGGGGTTGGGCACAACTATGGACATTGTGGACATGGCATCACCATGGACGTGGCACCAACATGGACACAGAATCACCGTGGATATGTCAATGTCATGGATATGTCAATGTCATGGATATGGCACCACTGTGGACGTGGCACCACCATGGACACATCATCACCATGGACATGTCAACGCCATGGACACTGGGGCACAGCACTGCTATGGCCAAGTCACCACCATGGACACACATCTGTACCACCAAAGCTTTGGCACCACTGTGTGCCTCCACCAGCAGCACCCACCCAGCCAGCACCCACCCAGCACCCAGAGGCGCTCGCTGAGCCCCCATCCCCGCTCACTTGGGTGACTTGAGGTCACGGTGGATGATCTTGTGGAGGTGCAGGTAGTTCATGCCGCCGGCGATGCCCATGGACCAATCCACCAGGAGAGAAGGGGTGACCTTGCGCCCGGCACGCAGCACCTCGTAGAGCTGGCCTTGGGCGCAGAACTCCATGATGATGCAGTAGCAGGGCGCCTGGGTGCACACACCCCTGCTGGCACAGGGCACCGTCAGCGCAGCACCCACTGTTGTTGTGGGGGCACCCGTTGTTGTGGGGGCACCTGGCTGCACCCGATGCCTGTGGGTGCTGGGGTGCCATCATGACTGCGGCACCCGTTGGGGTCGGTGCCAACCCACCTGCATCCCAGCACCCAACAGCACTGGGCACCCATTTGTGTCCCTCCCCTCTCCCCATCACCAGTGTGCCCCCTGCTCTGTGCCACACACGGGGCCATGCTGTGTTGGTGCTCCCCACGTTGTGTCCGTGGCCCCGTGTCTGTGCCCACACCGTGCCCCAGTGTCCCCCAAGAAGCCATACCCATGGTCTGACCATGCTGTGTCCATGCCCATGTCCACAACACTCTCCATGCCCGTGTCGTGTCCACGCTGTGTCCATGCCATGCCATGCCCCCATGCCACATCCACGGTGTTCTCCATGCCCACGCCGCGTCTGTGCTGCGTTCCGTGCTCCATGCAATGTCCATGCTGTGTTCCCCATGCTGCATGCCCCACACCGTGACCATACCCATGCTGTCCCCCACACCCCATGCTGTCTCCATCCCCGTGCTGTCTCCCACCCCGTACCCGTGTCCCTTCCCCATTCTGCACCCATACTCACAGCATCTCCCACCCCATACCCATGTCGCACCCCATGCCGTCTCCATCCCCATGCTATCTCCCACCCATAACCCATCTCCATGCCCACACCCCCCCCACGTTGTGCCGTGCCCCCCGCTCACTTGAAGGTGATGATGTTGGGGTGTTTCAGTTTGCGCAGGTGCTTTATGTCG